TCAATGTGTAAGTATACCAGAAATTTTGATTCTTCATAATGTAAATATTAGCTCAGTTAGTTCAGTAATCTTTAACTGGTGGTCCGCATGCGTCTTCCGAAACTGTTTTACGTGGCCCGCGAAGACATGCCACGTAAATTAATTAGCATGATTATGACGTTAAAGGCAGAATTTGAAGCAGAATTTTGAATAACATCACCAGAAAAATCTATAAACTAATCTAATTAATTTTCAATGTGCTATAAATCTTATTCAAAGATTTGAACAAAGAGATTTGATTAAATGTTTTTCGTACTTTTCAAAAGATAAATACCTTCAGTTACGAATCTCTGCAATAAGAATAATCGCTTTGTTTCTGAATACATTTATAGTACGTATACAGTTTTTTTCCTCCGCAGTTGAAAATTAGCAACTTGTAAAAAGAAGAAAAAAAAACAAAACAGACTAACCGATAAGCATCTACAATTCGTAATAGACATAGTTTCTAGTAAATTTTATCCAAGGTTATAAACTTTATAAAAATCGAAACACTATGTTGTGTTGTAGCTAAAAGTTATAATAAAGAGAAGTTTATAATTATTTACATACGAATATATGCATTTTTCTGTGCGCGTCAAAGAAAATTTTAATAAATAAAAGAAAGATAATAAGTTTTCATTATTTACTCCCAAGTTTTGGAAAGTTTGAAATTGAAAAATTTTCGTAATTTGTTTAGTTTAAGTAAGTTATAGTCTATAACTCAACTTACTGGAATAATTTGAAATAACTATCTGTCTCAAAATTTAATATTTAGATATAAATACTTTTAAATTGCAAAGCATAACCAACAGAAAATTTTTACAGATACCAACCCTTAGATTGCAGTGAAAAAAATAAATGTGAATTTGGGTTTTTCTCTTTGCGTTATTATTGTTTATGTATGTTTTTTGATAAACATTTAGTAAATAAAATGTTAAATTTGTTTTGTTAAAAAAAAGCCGTTTCATTTGGGGTCGGGAGAATTCAACTTCTTTCAGATCATGCATTCAGCACGTATGTAATTTGATTTTGAAACTACTGAGTTGGTTGATTACATATCAGTAGCATAAAATTAATTCTGAATTGTAGTTCTGAACTAGACTTCCTATATCTTTAGAGTATGTTCTATGAGTTCTTATGATTATTTACTAGTGGCTATGTAGATAAAACAGATGAGCATTGGCAGCTCATCGCAGATTCGATTCTTAGCGAACGATCCATGTGAGTTTTATCCATATACTAACGTGAAGATTAGCCATTTCTTTTAAAACGTCTTCCACACACATAACTATCCTAAAGCAGATACAAGCTCTCAGTCCTTTGGCGTAACCGATTCAACACAATAGTGATTATCTTCTTATCTAATATTAATTCGATTTAGTTTTCATTAGAAAATTAGATGCAAGTGCGACCGACTGGTAAGAAAGCTGGATGCTGGTAATTCGACCCGGATTCAAAACACGAAGAACGGGTTCGTTACATGTACGTTATCGGGGGTTTTGTAATGTGTAACAAGCCAGTTTCCTTTAGAAAGTCTTCCATGAACGCATCTCTGCTCTTAGGTGGTTTGCCATAATGTGAGTAATTCAATTCAATCCCGTAAAATTCATTATAAAGGCATTATAAAGAAAATTCATTATAAAGGCTTGCCTTCCTTTGTGCAAAGAAACGTCATGTACTTTTCTGTATTCTTAAACCCAGTTAAATCCTATGCAACGAATTTTTTTTTGTTTCCTTAATTTAATTTTAATTAGCGTAGATATAGATAGCTAGATAACGTAGACAGATAATCTTGCCTGCGTTGCCGTAATAAATAACATAGCTTGTACCATTAAGAATAGGATTTCTCTATTCTTTATTTCCAAATAACAACAATTACTTTTATAATAATAATATTCAGAAAATGAAGCCTTGTTTACCCAGATACAAAGTAATGACTTAAAATAATTGTTATGATTTACGCAATCTAGTACAGAATTTCATGATTTTTTTCTTTTAGCTTTTTTTATCCAGCCAATTAAGTACAGATTCAATAGATGAGGTCACATTGCAATTTCGCGGTTGAAGCTGCCTTATAAAGATGCAAGGAAATGGTCCTTGACATCTCATCTTAAAGAACGCATTTTAACTTGACTGCGAAAAAGCAAAAAGCGGAAAGGCTGGAAATGACAGAAAAAAATGTTTAATCAAAATGTAGGTAACTATGATAGACAGCCTAGTTAAGCACTGTAATCTTTACGCATCCGTTAAAGAGCTTAAAATGCAAACACAAAAACATTACTTCAATTTCTGACGCTTAGAAAGAAAACTGAACTCATTTAATCTGAATATATTGAGACAGTTTGAATATTTTTACAATATGGAAGCGTCTGTTTTGAAAGCTGTAATCGTATTATGCATTATTAAGGTCATTATTAGTTTCATCAAATGAACCATAACTGGAATGGAAACTAAATGCTTCGATTTTAAGATGTATAAATAAAGTGTGAGAAATTTTTAATATTCTCTCGGGGGAACTAAATGGTAACAGAACAGTTACTGTTGTGAAAGATCAGTATATGATCCATAATAGTCTGACTTAATTTCTTATTCCTAGCCGTTATAGAAACTGAATAAACGATGAGAACTGAAGTAAACATCGTAACCTTCCACTAAAAGAACATGGCTTTCCAAAACAAAAGTTCACATTTTACTTAATGACTATTTGTTCACTTAACATGTATATTGCAGTTACTTATCATTTTCGGGAAAGAGGTTTGGTATGTTCTTTAATTGATTAAGTAAAAAAATGCAAAGGCTATCTGCCTGAATAGGGAGGTCTTCACGAAGGACTTTCTAAGAGATACTGGCTGGTATTCATATCACACACAAGAAAAATCTCAAATCCCATACAGCAAGCTGATATCTTATCAAGTTGTCACTGGTGAGCTCTTGAGTGAAAATGATGAAGGTACTAAGAGTTCGTGTTACATCCCAAGTAAAGTAAAATGTTATTAGGTACTGAGAATGCATTTTATCTTAAAATAAAATTATTAATCATTTCTGGGATTAAAATTATTACGTATTTAAAAAAGTATTTGCAAAAAGTGCTAATTTTATTTATGGGCCTTTAGATCCTATCGCTATGTAAGTTACCCATATGAACACAACGTATGTATTATTGGTACTATTTCGTTTTGAAGACCGTAAAAAAATTGCAGCGAAAATCTATGCGCAAAAGCGCCAAATCTAGCATACGCGCTGATTTCAGATTGCGTGAGTTTATATAGTTCTATATTTCTTAAGACGTCATTGAAATACTAGTTTAATTTTTAAATCCTTTTTTGATATCCTATGGATTTCACAATTTGGGAATTGCCCATGACGAAGAGTCTGCAATAGAATGTTGGGTAAAGTGCAGAATCACCCACTAGTTGACGCGTTTTAAGAATTTTTCATTTAAAAAAAAATCCCCAAATTGCACAAAAATGGCACTGCGCACACCCTTGACTTTATCTATGTACATATCGACCTATTTTCACTTAAAAAGTAAAAGAAAATTGACAAAAATGCAATTGTTTTTAACCCTTGTAAAAAGTGACAAACAAATAAGTGGGCGATTCTGCACTTTACCGAGAATTTTTTCAAAGAAAAGGCATCATTCATTATAGAAAATTATGTTTGAACAACCAACGAGATGAAATTATGCTTTTAGCGATAACTCGGTAGCGAAATAGCGATGCAGGCATCCATCCAGTTATGTTTAGCAATTTTTATATAAATTATAATAATGATCTGAAGTAGTTATTTACTCTTATGCTTCCATTTAGTCATGTTTAGCCTTTTTTATATAAATTATAATAATAAAAGAGTATTATATGAAATTAACCTTTCGTCTAAATTAAAACATCAATCTTAAATAGTTATTTACTATTATACTTTCTTCTTGCGTTAGGGTTGCCGCAATTATTTTTGGCAGCACTGGCATCAACAATAGTTTGGCGATTTTTTACGGCCCTCAAAACCGAATAGTATCGTATTATTACACAGTATACGAATGCAGTATGTTTGTTTTTATTTTTAAAAATAAACTCTTATTTTAAATAAAATGTATATACAGATAATACTATTTCTGTGCGTTTCGATTTGCAACCTTGTGTATGATAAAATACTTTGCGATCTAAGTAATTATCACTTTTCATTTATTTAGAAAAATTTGATTTCTGAAAAAGCTATAAGGCCTATAGAATTTATGTGCAGTTTTATATTAGATAATTTTTTTTAAAAATTAATCAGCAACTTGTTATTTGCAACACAAAATTAAAAATTGCATAAAATATTTTCTGAGCTGTTGTCCCCCCCCCGAACAGTAGCTTCCAACAGAAAAATTAAAGCAAACATTTTACATTTAATTTTTGCTGCGAATGAACCAAAGGCAAAAATTAATGAAAAATATTTCCAGAGATGCACTCTAAATTAAATTACCATGACGTTCCAAACGTGCTTTGTATAATTTACTTTTTAAATTTTCGAATGATTTATCACTAAAATACTTGCTGATGCGAGCGAGCTTTTGTTACTTCACATATTTCATTTCGTTTCTTATCTGAACACTTCTTTTAGGTCTACGTCATAACTTTCTACATGAGTAAATTTTGACATTTGTTTTGAGGATTAATTCTTGTTCATTCAATTCTTTCACAAACGCTGAGTTCTAATTTCACGGTTCTCCACTCAGCAACTAACTAAGTAGTTTTTACTGCGTTATGTGCTTAAAACATCCTGTTCCTGTTGTACTTCTCAAATAATTACCCCCTACGGTTTCAACGCTGCTTGTAAGTACACATTACGAAGGAAGTGCAAATCCTAAATGTTCACTGTAAATCGTACGACTGTTCCACAATTTCTGGGCGATGAAACTCCAAATCAGGTTGAATAACGTCGCCAACCTGAATGAAATTTCTAGTCATGTCAAATCCGGATCAAACTTTCAATCCAACGCTTACGTCTGGCCGAGATTGCTTGTGATCCCGCCTCGGGAAAATTCATTATCTTTTCGAGATTCAGTTCTTAACGTTTAATTCACTTATGGTTCCGCTATGCTAGTTTTTTCTTTGATTTGTAACTAGTTTGCGGCCTTGAAATAGTTTCAGTTGTCAACAAGCGCATTTTGAGCAATGAATTTGCTGTTAGTGGAGTGTAATTTTACTTAAGTTGCAAGACAGTTGCTATGAATATTTAGTCTTCTAATATATTCAGTATGTCATCAGTATTCATGATGAAAATGTTAAAACGCTACCAAAGTTATGTCATTTTGCAGATGTATGTTTTTGTGCTCTGTATTTATTTTAAAAAAGGATCCTTAGTATTTGGCGAAGGTAGACGACCACTTTATATTATAGCGCATATGGTAAATTCTATTTACGAAATGGATGAATATTTAGCAAGAGGAGCGAACGCTATTGAAGCTGATGTAACATTCAGTAGTAATGGAACGATAAAGAATGTTTATCATGGATATCCTTGTGATTGTTACAGAGTATGTGATGAGAAAGAAAATTTTGCAAGCTATCTAAATCACATACGAGATCTTTCGAATCCAAAGCATGTGAATTACCATGACAGTCTGACGCTTTTGTTTCTAGACTTAAAGTTAAGTGACGTATCTCGATCACAAAAATATAAAGCTGGTGAAGAAATTGCTAAATATTTGATCACACATCTTTGGAGTAATAATTTGAGTGACCCGCAAATTAGTGTTTTACTTTCTATCGGCCATACGTCAGACAGTGAAACTATTAGAGGTATTCAAGACACATTTACTACATCCAACAGAGGAACAGCAATGCAAAAATTAGGCTTCGATGTTGGTCTAAATGACGATTTGAATTCTATTCGCAGAATGTGGTCAAAATTAGGTGTTAAAAATAATCGCTGGCAAGGTGATGGTATCACCAATTGTTTACGACCTTTCAGAGAAGACAGTAGGCTCCGCCATGCCATTCGGATAAGAGACTCAGGAACAGGCTTTATTGATAAAGTGTACGATTGGACAGTAGATATTACATCACATATTCGACGATCTTTACGATCAGGAGTCGATGCAATTCTTACTAACTTTCCAGAAAGAGTCGTATCTGTACTTCAGGAAAAAGAATTCAAAGAGAAATATCGCTTGGCTACAGCTAGTGACAATCCATTTTCCCGAGTTCGTGTTGCTGCGATTAAAAATAAACATCAAGTAATGAATATGAATACTTACGTATCCACTATGAGAGAAATTACTATAGCTCTTATGGGATATGCATGGGACTTTTATAAGCTCAGGTTAAAAAGACCGGGTACATTATTTCCGTTAATACAAGAATTTTTCAGCCGCACTGTTCCAGTTTTACATGAATATCGGTCTACTTTAAAGCGTCTGTCGCGAAGGAAAACAAAAACGCGATGACCTTTTCATGTTATGCATTCGCCGGTATGAAGAACAATTTTTTGCAGGAGTGCATTCCGTATTTTTCTCATATGATTCAGGTTTGTCCATTTTATCAAGATGTTCGGTAGTACGATAGGAGTAATATGATGCAGCAATTTGGACAGTTTTTTAATGCGTAGTAGAAAATGCTGCTTTTTCTGCTGGGCAGAAAGCCTTTAGCATAAACTTTCTTAGACAGTGTTCAAACTATTTATTCGTATTATTTATTATTTCTAATGAACAGTTCTTATTTGTGAAGCTACTTGTCTTGTTCAAAAGTTTGGTACTCCGTGCTTATTTGATCATGTTAAACAATGATGTGATGGTTGACCATGTATATCTTCATTGTAAAGTGCATTGAAAATAGCGCAGTAAATCCAAATTTAATTTTTACTTCATCTGAAAAATAAAAAGGTAAGTGATATTTCTTATCTTCAGTTTGCGAATCATTAAATATCACGAGTAGGTTGCTGTAGCATTTAAGAACAATTATGTAATGTATTTCCTCTTCTTACAAAATCCTAAACTGATTCCTGAATCTTCTAATTTTTTCCCTTTGTTGTCATAATTTGGTCTTCGCTATTAAAATGCAGGGCTTCTTAAGGGTTTACAGGTAGCATACTAAAGGGCATTGTGTTACAAAATGTTTAATATTTTTATAAACTTTTATTTTAATGAAATGCCATAGTATCGGCTGGACAATAGTGTAACATTTACAGGACATCTAGCTTTAAAAATACCCTTAATGTCAAGCCAGAATTTTGGGGCATCATTAACTAGTTTATTTAGCAAAAGATAAATCAGTAAGTCCCAGTAGTTGAATTATACTCGAATGGAGAGTGCGCTGTTTGTGATCTTCCACTTGCGGCGTAAGTCGTCCTCGGAAATCCTGTAGAAAAATTATTCTTAGCCATCAGAGAGCTTTAGCATACTTTTCATGGTAATGAACTACGTAAGTTTATAAGAAATCTTGGCATAATTATCAAAACTTCCAGATCTGTAAACTGTGCTGTGTCTGAAAACTTTTGATGATAATGAAAAATTTGTGAAAATAAATATAATCTGAACAAAAAGTTAAAAGGGCATAACAAAATCCTTGTTCCTTGTGTATCTAAGTTCTTCAAAAAAATTTAAAGATTTTTAGCAATAATGGGTACTTTTCCGTTTTGCCGGCGCAAGCGATAAAGTCGCCAATAATGGTACAAGCGATGCCAAACTGAATATTCTCGCTGGTAACCTTTTACGCCTCATTTTCAAAACAAGTCGCAGCTTTTTCTTATCAGATTGATTGTTTCTTTCAATACTGGCATATAATTGCATAGAATTTTTTACAGATAGTTCAGTTTTACGTCTAAGGCCATTTTCGGTAATTAAGTCAATTAAGATGCAATCACAGAGCTTACCTGAAGCCGAAAATATAGAAAAGGTAAAGTCAAGGGTTAAATTCATCCATTCTAATGAGAATACATTAGCGAAGTAAAGCACTACGGTTTTACATAATTTCTGAGTAAGCTATTCGTACGAATTGAAATATTTCTTGCATTTAAATTTGTGTTCCAAATTAAGATTTAACTTGAAATTAATGTAGATAATTACTGAGAGCATTAGAATTTTGTAGAGTAATTTATGTGAGATGAGATCGCTTGGGGTCACGTGATATGAACCGGCGAATCAGGATGTTGAACCATGAAAGCATAGTAAATTCTTAATGTCTTTTTACAAATTTATTGTCTTTATTTATTGGCTTTTTATAAAATTTTAAGCGATATTAAAATGTTTATGCCTTCTTTTTTTAAAAGAATTCTTAGAACTAACATTTTTTTAAATATTTTTCATGTGTATACTGTATGTTTTCGCCAATAAAGTCTGCTTGGCGAGATTTGCGCCGGCAAAACGGAAAAGTACCCAATAATGTTTTTTGTGCTAACAATAAAAATATTTTGTGAAAGTATTAATCAAAAATTGATGTAGAAGTTTTTCATACAAATATTTTAAATATATACGGAATTAAATGAGGTAAAAATATAAATTTTGTTAATGTGAAGAATATTAAATTTTAATTGTATTAAATATTATGGCAAAAGTGTAATATTAGTAAAGTACTTTTTGTGAACCGAAATGATAGGATAAACCATTTGAAGTCTATTATTATAATAAAAAGATATTTATTTTGATGTGTAATTAACACACCATTGGCATAGCTGGTGGCTTAAAAACCGACAGCTCCTGTGATTTGATTTAATTAATTAATTTTAATTTTGCTCATGTTGTAATTAGTTGCAATGGTGCATTTGGAAAAATCGCATGTTTTCTAATAGTTACATTTCCGTCTCCAGATTAATAACTTATAAATGCTTCATAAACAAATTCATTTAGTTTATCATAATTTTAGGAAATTAACGTGTATCTTGTATTTGTTTCCTATAAAAATAAATACCTATCCACTTAGTATATCAGACTGATTTTACGTAAATGAGAATGTGTCAGTGTCTTATATTCAAACAGACAACTAAATTTTGCTTTATCAGAATAAAATCTGTTAATAGAAAACAATTTCCTAACCAGAAGCACATTTGAGACTGATAGAAGGCACTACATGAAATATTTTACACAACTTTTGTAACAGTTTGTTTACTTTATTATGTTATATAACTATTCTGCTCCTTGAGAGTGGTATGTACAATCTCATTTTACTTTTTCCGCTTTCTCATCCTCTTTCGCTCCCGTCATAAATTTTATCAAATTTGCTCCGTAAATTGTTTTATATTCCATTAATGTCTTTTTACTTTTGGTCATATTTCATTAGCCATTTTTTTAAATTTTTAAGCAGCAGTAAAGGTGTCATCTTTCTCAGCAACCAAATATCGCATACAAAACTAGCATTTTCAAACTCTGAAGAAATTATCTTCTTACTGTTTCTTTTCAATTCCCACTTCCGTTTTCTAATTTTAGATCGATTCTATTCCTGTCAAGAGTTAATTCTTAATATAATCCTTTATGCATGAATTACATGACTGTTCACTCTTGTGTATAGCATTTTCAATTAAATGAGCACCGTGAAATTAGCCAAGTAGGAAAAAGTCAAAAAACATCTTAGAAAATATTTTTCTAATAAAATATGCATTGGCTTAGCCGTTACTACATTGTTACTTTAATATTTTGAAGCCTCCCGCGTAGTCTCTCTTGCTTTGCTGATGCATCAAATGCCTCTATATACTTTTCGAAAAATTAAATTCCGAATCATACAGCTATTGCAATGCAAGAAAATACTTAAACCTACTTTCCCGAAAGCCCCAATTGAATTTTATAAGAAAGCGCTGTTGATTTAAAACAGATATGGTATTTAAAACGAAACTACTGAAAACAAGTTCATTGTTTCGTTACGTTCGATACTATAAACAATCTCATTGCTGATAATAAAATAATCTATTTTACTGGTATCCCTGCATACAGCTCAAATGTTCATTAAAATCTAATCTCAGGAGAGTTTTTGCAGTTGTTTTCTAAGAATTTAAAAATTAATGTTATTTAATTACTATGGCAATACCTGAAGGCAATACCTGTGTTAAATGTCTTCGTAAATGACTTGTGAAAGGAAACTAACCCATATTCGCTCATTCATGTCGAAAATCACTGCGTGAGGTTTTTCCTTATTTACAATATGAATATCAATCAGTTTCCTTTAGAAAGTCTTACACTAAGGCATCCTTCTTAACCCTTTGAATATGAATTAAAAAAATTTTTTTTACTCTGCTTTTTATCCAAATGAACAAAATATGTCATAAATAAGGTGAATTTAGCATTTGGGACTTTTTTTGACAAACGGTCTTCAAACCAAAGGCTGGAACGCATATGTCCCGGCCATAATTAATAGTGGGATACAATGGCACACGTAGCTTTCGACTTACTATAAGCACACCTATTATTCAGGAAAACTTTATTATATGAAATAAATTTTACATCGTATTGTTCAGGGTAAACCACTCTTTGCATAATCCAATATTACACATTGGTCATCTCATAATTGTTCTTTTCTCTATGTTCATTTGTGTACAACGAGCACAAGAGCGTCTTGATTTTCCAACTATTGGAAAATGATCCACAACATTCGGGTGATTCTAAGCCAGCAGTAATTTTTTAAACTTTCAGTGGGACATATATGCCCCGTAACTTGACACTGACTGTTAACCCATCAGATGCCGAGTGGTTAAGACCACTGAATATTGGTAGTTCGACCTGTTTTGGGTTCGATCCAAGCAAATAGGCTGGCTGCATGGTTGATTTTCCTAGTTTTCCCCATCTGTAATGTGAATACGATGAGAAAGACCTCCACGAAGGTATCCCTCATCTTAGAAAGATAACCGTAGCTTTGCCATATTAGGTAACGTAACCTAAAGCAGATAGCCCTCGTCTGCTTTGCCGTAAACAGTTAATCAACCCACGGCCAGTAGACAAATAATGTTAAGCTCTTGCAAACGCTGACTAAACATGTGGGTGAAACTAAGACACAGAGTAGAAACTAAGACACAGAATAGTTGCTGAGAGACTAGGAGTCGGTGACGTCGCATAAAAGCAAACCTTGGAGTATATTAACTTTGAATCAAACCAAAAAAAAAATGAAGCAGAAAACGCCTTACTCATTTCATTTGTCGGGTTGCAAACTTAAAATAAACAACCAGTGTTAAGGGTTCTTATCCTATCGGCCAGTGGTGGGCTACACAAGAATTTAAAAATAAAAGCCTATTATTTTATTCTGGTAATCCTTTTCCATAGTTTGTAAATATAAATTAAAAGTTGTTGAGGGTTTCACACATCTTGGCTCTGAAATTAACACGGAAATATCTCTCCTAAAATTCGTTAACTGATGCTTCTTTTGTTTAAAGAAGTATCAAAAATCAAACTTTATCAAAAGAAAAAGAAATTGACAATTTACAAATGTTTAATTAGATCGGTTTTGTTATATGAAGCTGGAACTTGGACATTAAGTATAAGGGATAAAGAAATAATTGCAGTCAGATTTTGTGAAGCTCTATTGGAGGTATTCAAATAGAGATGGCGGTACGTACGGAAAATCCAGTCGACCATTTTTGCCTATTAAAGAAAAGAGGCCAAACTACGCTATTTTTCGCCAAAAATAGAAAAGTCTTCTTCAAACACGCTAGTGTTCGAATCCCGCGAACGGGCTGGCTGCATGGGCGTTTTCGTGGTTTTCTCCATGTGTAACGTGTATACGAGCCAGTTTCCCTTAGAAAGTCCTCCACGAAGGCATCCCTCCTCTTAGGCAGATAGCCCTCGAGGCTTTGCCATAATCACACACACACAAACACGCTGGTTTTGTGTAACCTTGATTACACGTGTTAGTTATTATTATTTAGTAAAGACTCCTTTTCTGTATCGCGCATTTTCGAAA